GGGAAAGAGACGCAAGCGTCGAGGACAGGCTGTTGGTATCTCAGTTAAACACAACGGGACAGTGGGAGACTTGCCGGGTAGTGGAAAACAACCACAGCTGGCTCGTGTGCCCCGGAGCTGATAGCAGCCAGGAAGGCTGTCCCTCCCTGGCGCCAGGGGAAATAGCGCCCGGGAGCGTGCGCTCTGTGTTGTACAGGCTCGGCTCTAACAACTGAGCGCCACTGGGGCCTAGCAGGAAGCTTAAGCACAGTTGATAGGAAACACAAAGCAACCAAACATATATATATTTTTTCTAAATATTGATAAAATTCTGTATTTTGTGCTTAGTGGCTCAGTGACATGAGTGGACTCAACTGTACGGACAGAAATAAAACATACACATACTCTAAAGAAATGTTTAAATACATACTTGACGTCCCTCAAAACTTCTTTATGGGCTGTTTTTTGAAAACACAGGAACCCCGTCTTCAGCTTCACATGGTAGCAGATGTTGTGGAAAGTTAATACACTTCCTCCCCTGCCGGCTAAGTCTGGAGAGGACTGCTTTCTGCTGGGGATGCCATTTGTACTTGAGTCTGACATCTGAATACTTAGGTGTGGCTGGCCTTCTGCCATTTTTCCTCTATAAATGAAAAAAAACAAGATAAAGATTTGATTAGGCATGAAAGATGTGTCTGTTGGGTGCAGTGTTTGGCACTGGACCTACTGTGGGTCTTGCAGATGTCCATCTAGGTGTCTGTCTTTCAGATAGGAAGTTTGAGTCCTGTGGGCTCAGACCTCGAGATGACACAGAGCTGATGGGGAGCTGGGTCTGCCATGTTGCTTCACACCACATGCAGCGTGGGGGGGAGATGAGATAGAGTATCCCTCCACCCTGATGGTCTGTTGTGGTGGGTTGACCTTGGCTGGCCACCAGATGCCCACCCAGCTGCCCTCTCAGGTGAATCTCTGCTCCAGTGCTTGGAGCACCTCCTTCCCCTCTTTCTTCACTGGTCTTGGTGTCTACAGGGCTGTTTCTCCCACATTTTCTCAGTCCTCTCTCACAGCTGCTGCACAGCGTCTTTTACACTTCCTAAACAGGTTTTCAGAGAGGCACTACCAGCATCGCTGACATGCTCGGCTTTGGTCAGCAGCGGATCCACTGGTGCTGGCTGGAGGTGGCTGTTCCCGGCATTGGGCAACCTCGGGTCCTTTCTCACAGAGGCCACCCCAGCAGCCCCCCTGCAGCAGCACCTGGCCACGGGCACCAACTACATCTGTTCTCCGTGTACAAAGAAGTAGGTACCTCTCACAGAGGGCACTACCATGACATTATGCTCTTTCTGGAGCGCTGCCCCTGGCAGAGAGGTCTGTACATAAACTGCATGCTTCTTGGAAACCACAAGTTCAACAGGTGACTCAGTGAAAGATCAGCTCAAAATTATTGAGGTCCAAAAGGATCTGGCCTTCTGCCTGTATGCTTTGTCAGACTTTTTTCTAGTTTTGAATATGCTTATCTCATTAAATACTTTTTTAAAGGAGTGTTTTGAAAGTAAAGATACTCCTCCTACTCTAGTGCTCCTGTGCAAAGGTGACAAGATCTAAAAATTGTTGGTTTATTTTTTAATGAAAATAATTTTGCCAAGGGTATAGGAGCATGGAAACCGACACCACTGCCAAGTAATTCTCTTCCTTGGATTTGCTTTCAATATAAAAACTAGAAGGTAGCTGTGGAATAGTTAAAAGTTATCTCACCTCCCTTGTAAGCCAGGCTCCTGCCTGTTGAGCCATCCACGTGCACCATGGAGGCATCCCCAGCTGTCCCTTGTGCATGCAGACCTTTGTCCTCTTTGTGCTTCCTAAGTGTCGTAGGGTCATTTAGGTGGGAGGCTGGATCTGGTCTCTCTTTATATATCACGTTGACTCATCAGAGTCTAATTACTTTAATTGTCACTAGGGAAATGTTAGTAATGCAGTAGTTCATGGGAACTGAGAGGGGAGATGAGCAGCTAGGTGCTCTGGGATGATCAGTGCCATACCTTAGCGTAGTTATACTGCTTGCAGCAAGGAAGAAGGCAAATTATGTGACCGTTTTAGAAATGCTGAATGAATTTGAGAGCAGTTAATCAAACGAGCCTCACAAAAAAAGCCGTTTAATCTAACACAGTCATATGGTCACATAAAAACCCAAGCCCTTATCTCGTCAGTTTGCTAAGGTTGCTTGACAGAGAGCTGAATTCTCCTTTGCGGCTATCAGCACAGTGAAACTGGAAGCCTTACTTTCAGCAGCAGACCTATCTGCATGTGAAGGCTGGTTCATCTGTCTCCCAATGATGCTATCCCAAATCTAGCCCAAGGTTACTACTTCTGATAAAACTGCAGTCTACTGTGCTGGTGAAAATATAAGGTCTTAATGTTTTAGTAATCAGTAATCTTGGCCCAATTTTCCTACAATGAAAAGAAACTGTGTTCCAAATATAATTATAATGGGACTAGCTTTAATTTAAGCTAAAATGGATTTTGAGTAAGTTGAACATCAATTAAATGTGCAACTCAAAGTCTGGAGGCCTTTTATGGGTAAACTGCCTACACTGTTCTCTGCCAGAGAAGACTGTAGCTGGAGGGCAGCTAATTTTATACAGCTATTTATAGAGTAGTTTCTGGGCTAATCTGGCTGGACATCAACCATTTGAAAGGATGCTTTGGTAAAGTAGAGATGTGCATTCAGAACCGCAGTGGGAACTTTTCGCTTAAAGTCTCACCATGCACTGAGCAGATGTTTGCTAGCATGCTGAGCAAGGTACCACACACTCGGCTGCAGAGTCAATGCCATGGATAGACATTACAAAATCCCTTGAACTGCTGGATAACCAGCAGCATGATGAGAGTGCAGAATTCTTCAGAAGACAGTGTGAATCTGACCTTGATATATCACTGCATCGATAAAGTATCTAGATCAGTATTTTACTTGATCAGATTTTTTTGTCAGCTTAATGTTTCAATATTACTGATGTAATGCTATGAGCAAATGGAGGAGAGTGAGGTGGAGTCTTACCTCAGGCATTATCAACAGAATAGTTAGATTCTTCTTTGTTTCATTTGTATTTGTTGGGTTTTTTTCCAAAGACCAGTATAAAAACCTAATTTAGCACTTGCACTGAAATTTCAGAAATGCTCTTTAGAACACAAGCTTTTTATTTAGGAATGAAACAGATTCAATCTTCCAGACGGAACCTGACTGGCAGACAAGAAGCAGAGGACCAGAAACTATTTTCATAAATAGAGGATCACACTACTTTCACAGAGTCGTTCTTAAGAACAGACAGTACATTGAAGTTTAATTTACCAATTGACTTATGATTAGATTCTACACACCTTTGCAAAGAACGTTGCAGAAGCAAGATAAATAAATCAGCTGCAAGAAAGATTAGACTATGATTATCCATAGCAGACAGGCCCTCTATGGCTAATGCCATTCCAATTCAGGAAGGTCTGAGCTCACTGATTGCCCGAGTCTTACAGAGAAAAATAGTGTTATTTGATATTGTTCTTTGTGAAGGCATTAGTTACTGGCAGGTGTGAGTAGAGGATTCAGATCTAGCTGGACCTCTGGTGTAAATCAGCATGGCCCTTCCTGGCTGCAGAGCCGTTGTGCTACTTGCAGTGACAGGGTGGGATGCTATAGGTGGAAGATACGGATTCATCTGTGTGCTGTTCCTCCTGACAGCTGCCCCTTCAGGGAGAAGTGTATTTGTGGGCATATGCCATTTATCAGAGTAAAAATATTCTATTATTTCAGATGTTAGGTTAATACCGAAAACAGCATTTTACATTTTCAGAGCTACTAGAATTTATTGCAGAAAGAAATTGCAGAATACTCATTCATTTAAAAAAGCTTGAATGGTTATTTATCAGTTGCTCTATGAAATCTGTTAGCTGTCTCTCTTCTCAAAGGAGCATAAGCGTTGCAAGGACTCTGTGACAGCAGCTCCATGGGATGACAAAATGACAGATTTCTGGACATGCTGGTGGGAAGGGGCCTTGGGAAGTCCCACAACCCAGCTTCTTCCCTCCGAGCAGGACTGTCACCAACACGAGATCAGGGCGGCTGTGGCTTTGCCTGGGAAACCTCTGAGAGTGGTGATTTGGATCTCAGCTAAAAGTGTAGTGAGAGAAGATGAAGTGCTAACAGCAGAAAGAATGCCTGTGTGCTAGAGTTAGGCTTTTGATAAGCTTTTCTTTTTTTCTGGAGACCATATTTCACTGTGGAGTAAGTACTTGCAGTGAGATATTAACAGTTTGGTGTTTTACAAACCAACCTTTCCATTTCTGATCTAGCAATAACCTTCACCATAGGAATACAGGGGCATGCTCCTTTACAGCTAATACAATTGTCAGCTGTTTGCAATTGCTCCTTAGAGACAGATTTTTTAAAATACTGCTTTAGGCCTTGTTCAAAAAATTATTTATTCTGTTTAATGATGAGCTATGAGACATTTTAAGTCAGAGCATGTGCAGGACAAAGAAACAACTGTGATAAATTACAATCAAATCAATTTCTATGCATTTTTTAAATGAAGTTTCCTAGAATTCATTGCCAATGGCTTACAAATATCTACTTCAGATCAGAAATAAGCAGGAGATTCAATGGCAACAGGTACTGCCTGCTGTATTTAGAAATATTCGTTAATATGATAAAGTGTTTCGTATCTTCATCATATCAGCTCTGGGTATAATACATTATTTTTGCCTCAGCTAAATATAAAACTTACTAATTCTTTGGGAATTTCACACATTTCATTTGTTTTCCCAAATATTTCTAAAATATTTTTATTGCCACTGATTTCAGCATGAATTTCAGTTCAAGCCTAATAGAAACCCCTTTTCTTCAGAGATATTTAGTCTGAGAAAATTTTGTCCAGAGGCAAAGTACTGAATCTTGAGATTTAACCACTTATTAATGGCAAAATGAAACTACTTTCTTAAAAACGATGATGAAATCTCTTTGTGCACTGTTTTGATGCACAAAAATTGAAACTCTCAGTACGGTCACTTCCCTGTGTATTCTTCTGAGACTTGTAAAGTACAGAGTC